GTAAGATAAAGTACAAGCAGCAAAAATATTCGCAATAAACGCTTTCGTTAGAGTTTGTTGCGATACGTCTAAGTATAATTAGCAGAGGTGTCTAAAACAAAAATAAAGGATGATTCCGATCTATCTCCTATTATACAGGTGATTGGGGGTCTATTCGGTGGTTCTGATGCCAAGTGTTATGACACAGTCGGATGCTTTAGAAAAGGCGACAACCTGACTCTTCCCACTGGCGTCCCAAGCTCTCCAGAGAGTGTCGGCACAAAATTCAGACTTTATTCTAAGCAACACATTGACCAAGCAGTCGAAATTTCTGAATCTTCGCCTAGAGAAACATTAGAGAAAGAATTCGGCACCAAGAAGAGCCTGGTGTTGATAGTGCACGGTTTTGGACAAGGGGGACACAGCACGATGCCCATTGAGATGAAAAATGCATTTCTCAAAAAGGTAGGTATTTATGACAATATTGTGCTTCTGTGGCTTAGACTATTCCAGTCGTCTTTGGATGCAACTGCACGGTTAGCCGCGGGTCGAGCCATTGGGCCACGACTGCCGCTCAATGACTTGACAGTTTCACCTAACTTTTGTTTCTAAAACTTCTGAGTGCGTAGAGATGACCAACCAAAGGCTATGCAAAAATAAATTGGCTTTTACCTGAAATAGAACGCAGCTCGCGCCTCCTAGGCGACCGGTGGTCGCTAAAAAAACAAAAGAAAAAAGACACCTGGTTTTAGGGTGACCACCTTCCTGCCGGTGGAATGCGGGACACCCTGACCGGGGAAGGGGGGGGGGGGGGGGGGGGGGGGGGAGTAAGAAGAGGACGGTATTTTCACGACTCAAGAAATAAGTACTAGGGAAATTCACCAACACGCACACCCCGAAATCCTGTGCTGTCCGAAAGCGTATTATACACCTGAAAATTGTACGCGGCAATTAAACTAAGATAAGTTTCACTCACAGTGATATACTTTTGTTCATTTGTAATGGTAAATATTTTTATTAAAAGTATGTAAGTTGAAAACATAAAGATCGACTGCACCAGACCCCAATGCATCAAAAAGAAATAAAAAAACGGTAAATATTTTCGGCTTATTGTTTCCTGTCGATACTTACTCTTATATTAACATGCTCCTACACAAAAATAAAACCTTACGCTGTTGTTTTTTTGACCGTTGTGAGTTGCAGGTTATTTGAATTTTGTGGCCGTCTGCACTTAAAAAAAAGCTTTCCACAACAACCCTTTCGCACGATACAGCATGATTTGCTTTTTATATTTTTTAGCTTTTGGCGAGCGATTTCCGCATGCAATATTTTCCCGTCAAGAGGAGAGACACAACGGCGCATGTGCGTCAGTCTCCTGCAAGAGCGACGGTTGCTTCCCGCAGTGCTTGGCAAGAAGATGACATACCATCGAGATTCACACGATTACTAGCGACTTCCGCGGTTCCCCGTTGCCCGATGTTCGGAAGCGCCATAATTTGCGCAGTGAATTTATGACAATATGAAATGCGGGACGCGGGACACGAATTTCTCGCGGGACGCGGGACACGAGCCCTCAATGCGGGACAGTCCCGCGAGTCGCGGGACGGGTGGTCACCCTACCTGGATTGTGTTTCAGTCCCGGCGCTTCGCAACCAAGACAAATGCAGCATTCTACAAACTGAGCCAACCGTGCGCTTGCACTCATTGGAGTGAATGGGTGTTAACAGTTGCCACCAGTAGCCACCGGAGGTGTTTTAGGGGACTTCCCTTCAAAATCATGATCTCTAATCATTAATGTCTGATCCCACTTTTGCTGTGGCTAAGATGAAGACTAGTAAGTAATTACGGCTAACACACATCAATGTGTGTTCCATAAATATCCGTGAATCTCATTTTCACCAGAGCATTCCGAGATCCCATCACTGCTACCTACAAAAGACGCTCAGTGAAGTATGCAGCCAGAAATATTAATCCTCAGATTGAAGCCTGCGATCTAACACTGAGGGTATTGTCCCACGTGCTCGCATCATTCTCAGAGCGGCATCCTAGATTCTATTTTTATTAACTGCAATCTTCTGTTGATTGCGGTCATTGACTCTACGAGTGCTCTGAGACAATGTGGACGTATAGACATTATTTTCGATTGTGTACCTCAAGAATGCTGAGCTTTGTCTATATCACCTCCTACAAGCGGGTAGAGTTATCCGTTGTAAATTTTGCTTCCCAAAGCAGCAGCGTATGCTCTTGTCCAGTACGCCCTAATTCACGAGAGAGCTGAATGACCTATATCAATAACACTTAGGCTCATAGCAACGCAGTCTAGAGACAGCATCACCCCACCTAGTCAGTCTACAAGCAGCTCTGCTTAAATAAAATTTAAAAAAAAAAACACTTCTTCCAAGCATTCGTTTTATGAGTCATCTTATCGTTTTTACTATATACGTCAAGACTTTACTGTAGACGTTTTAGTGTAATTATTTTTTTTTTTAGAAAGATTGCAACTTCGTCGTTGTACTGTGGACCGAAGGTGCAAAGAAACCTTTGTACAATATCGCTGCAGCAAACACGGCCCTTGTTGGAAGGCAGATTGCGTTGCTTCTTAAGAAGCTAACCGAGGAATTTCCACAGACTGTTTTAAGTTCAGAAGTTTACTTGATTGGCTTCAGTCTTGGTGCCCATGTCGCCGGATTTTGTGGAAGGACTTTTACTTTAATAACAAATAAAACTATAGGAAGAATTACTGGTAAGCATATTTTATGCTGATACAGATATGCCACAAGTTCATTCGAATATAAACGTGGCAATATTCATTTTTTAACGAAGACAACCTGCCGCGCCCAAGTGTTACTGCAGAGACAGCTTAGAATATTAATAAAAAAAACGTACACGTTTGTGAAATGTGAACATGAAACAAATCAGTAAATGCCGTCGTATAAGCATAAAATAGAGTTAAGAACAACCAAGTTAGAAATCACAATCTCTTCGTAAAATAAGCGATCCCAGGTCCAAAATTAAAATGGAAGTCTCAGGCAATACATGCCACTCGATGATTGTGCAAAAAACAAAAAAATATTTTTTTTTTGTAATTGGGTACACGTTTATTTTTCTTTTATTCGAAGAATATATGTGAGTTGGACCACATTCCTTGGTGCATCCAAAAAGCGATTTTTGTTAATTCTCGTCGGGTGCTGAATATAGCATATAAAAACTTTAAGCCCAGGTTTTTTTGCCCCAAAATTGGGGAGTACTTATCGAAGTGCGTTTTATATCTTTCACGCTGAAATTTCCGACTCTACTTTTTTTTCTAATAGATCTTCTGGCACGGCTCTTCATTTTTTACAACTTTCGGTGCGGGTCCCAGATAACACACCCGTATTCAAGTTGTCGTTCTCAATAAGCAGCAGGAGACTCAATTTTTCGGGAGCACTACGCAGGTTATGAGTAAGGGAGTGATGGTACATCTTACATAAGTAATTAAACGAAAAGTGTTGGACAAATTTCAGATGCTTACATTAATGCATTGATTAAGTATTTGGTCATCAAAAAAAGAACTCTTTGAAGATAGCATTATGTTTTAACTAAAAGTAACGTCATGTTGGGAAACTTATCAGCGTTAAGCCCTAGTTCCCAAAACTTACACCACTCAGAAATCTAATCTATATATTATCTTAAAATGGCGCCACTACAAACACTGTTTACTCTGCTACACAAATATAGATGCATCTGCATCTACCTTTTACGCTCCTGGAACATGAGCGGCGTGAGTGTGACTGATTTTAGTTTTCTTCCTTCAGAAATAGTTATATTCTGCATGATTAGTCGTTTTAAACTGGTCGACTGTTACAGTCTACCGCAGGTTAAAGGGCGATCTACAGACTTGCGTCAAGTCCGACAGGGTGCAACTGCAACGGCTTGCGACGTACGGGTGTTGCTATGACAACATCCGCGTCGGTTCTAGCAAAACGGGGTACAAACCGGTTTTGTTGGAGCCGACGCAGCTGATGCCGTAGCAACCTGTACGTCGCAAGCCGTTGCAGTCGCACTCGGTCGGACTCACGCAAGTGGGGAAACCAACCTTAAGAACAGTATATGAAGGCTTCGCTCGCAAAGGCCTCTTCTACTTGTTCAAAACAAGCGATTGCGAGTAGTCGATTGGAGGGGAGAAACTATCATTACTACGTACCAATAGAGCTTTGAGAGGAGGGCCTGTCCCGCTATGGTTAGCCTGCAACACCTATATTCCTGCTATATCTCAGCAAAGCGGGAGTATTTTCGCTGACCGCGAACCGCCGGGGAAGCGCTTGCCTTGACAACTTCTATGCGTTGAAATGACGCCCGCTGAAACGTGGGCGAATACGTCGAGAGTGCGCCTTATGTGATTCGTCTTTTCGACCTAGCAGTTCGTGTTGACAATTCACTTTCGTTTAGTAACTATGTTTCTGTAACTGTAAATGTGGCACAAACAATAGACGTGGTTTTGTGGTTGTGTCGCCAGTTTTGGATACTTTCTTACCTTTAGTTCCGCCACGCCTAAAATATGACTGGGTCATCTGGAATGCTTTGACTGCATCACATAATTTTGTAATTGAGTATATATAAAAACGAATAGTAAGGATATACTATACGGCAGACACATTAGAATGGGTTGGGGGTGGGGGAGTTCCTTCTGGTATAAAGCATTACTGCGCCGCTTTATATTTCTCTAAGCTAACTGTAAGGAGGCCATTCAAATACTTAAAATTCTGGCCCACTGTAGTTAATGGCAAGGTAAAATCACTTTATTTAATGAGATCAATAGAATCGTCGTGTTCTTTCTTAAATAACTAGGAAAGTCTCACCTTCTGATCAGTCATGTATGTCCTCTATGTCCCCATTTATCGAGAATTAAAAAAAAGATGATATCAACCTACACGATTTGAACCTTGATATTTAAACTTGTTTCGGGACTTTTGTTTGCATAGGTGCAAATGGATATTATCTAATTATGCCAATGCGTGCCTTGTATTAGTATTGCTTTCTTCGTGTATTTGGTAATTTCGTTTAAATATTTTTTTTTTCGGGGTGCTTGTGCAATACACAGGATTCCCATATTGTAGTTTCTGGGGCACAAGAAAAATAAATATCTATTAATAGCATAATACATAAACTGTTTTTCAGGACTCGATCCAGCCAACGCCTTGTTCACAAACTCGGGTGTGCGGTTGAGAGCCAGTGACGCAGATTTTGTAGACGTCATTCACACCAACAGGGGAAAAGCCTCCAGTGGAAAAATGGGGATTGATAAGCCATGCGGTCACGTCGACTTCTATCCGAATGGTGGATCAAGACAGCCGGGGTGCAGCTGGTTCAGTACGTTTATAATTCTTAAGTTTTTCTCTTTTTTTTCAACTGGAAAACGCTTTTTGGCTTTGTGTTCGGAATGTCGTGAAGCCGTGATAAAAGCGTGGCCTCGAGCTCGACGCTGGTTGGTTTTGAGTGGAGGAGAGAGGGGCGGGGGGAAGGGGGGAGGGGGGAGGCCATTCCAGTAGAATAAGCATTCGCGCCAGGCGGGAATTGACCATTTAGGTTTTTAAACGAGTGTCTTTCCAGCATATCACGACACACTTTTTTTTTTTTTTTTCTCTGTATCGCTTGGATACATCATACAAAGCATACATTTCGAAGACGCATTGACATTCCAGTTAGCGCACAAGGAGACATTTGCAAACCTCGGCAGGCAGACTTGGGCTGTCATGGAGTCATCAGACGGATCTTAACGTAACCAGGCCATGTAAAACTGGCAACCAATCTGGAGTTTCTTCTAAAACAGAATACGTTTCTCTAAGTTGGCCCATACTCTGAGTAAAATAATGACACGCGGGTCGCATATCAACATCCGCGTGTCACAAGCCACGCTGCTCTTCGATAAGCTATAGAGGCCGATGACCATATGATGATATCATATGAGACAGACTCGGTTTTCTCGATTGGTAGGAAAGGTATCACACGTGTGTTTAACAAAAGCTTTTCTTTATTTTTTCAAAGTCCTTTGTAGAATTTGTTTAATAGACCACAGCGTCCCAACTGTCCAAGAACAAGTGTTCAATGGACTCAGGTTGCTTACACAAAAAGCCAATTTACAGCCCAGGGCGTAAAGGTATCCTTGTGTTGTATACCCTTGTCTTAAGCGGGAGTGTCCGGTTTTGTAAATTGAAAGAGAGAAAGTTTTAATGTGCGTTGGGTACCAAACATTTTCTTTACAATGCGAGGGACAGGATGTCCCCCGGCGCAGGTGCAAGGCTAGCGGTTTCGGTATGGCGCCCGCGCCATTTTTCCGTCTCTTATCTGGCCCTGCCAAGGAGTTTAGAAGTACTAGGGAGTGGGCACGTTGCAATATTGGTGAAGCCTAGTCATAAAAAGTTTAAACGATATTGTGCCCAGCGTGACCGCAGATCTGTCTGGCGATTGGCGCGCGTGACATGTCACGTGCGAGATGGATGGTTGATTGTAGGAGGATTCCTTGCAGGCTTGCGGGCGCTCCGTCCGGTAGCTTTTATCAGATCGAAGGCTAGCTACGGTCACGTGATGTGGTGAGAGTAACGATAAAAATGAGGAAAGAGGCGAGGCGTCAAGGGAGCATGGCTTGTGGAGGCTACGCGGCTGACGTCATGCCCTCTTCTACCCCTTCTATTCTCCATGGGCCCAGCCTTGCACCTGCTCCACAAGTGGTAACTTCAGCGCACTACTGCGCTTCTCACGCACTCAAATTCTTTCTAAAAATGACTCATTTAGTGGTTTTCAATAACGCTCAGCAAGTTTCTAATTTGAACCATATGTCTATTTTCTCTAATTAAAAAGTTAATTAGTGAATTTTAATTAATCAGTGAGTTATCGCAAAGATTAGCCACCCACATAATGTCATAATGTCCCCCTTGGGCGTATAACTCACTCGCCCAAACCACATAAGTGTAGCTTTCACGGTCTTTTGTTAAAACAAATCTGCAAGAATAAAAAAAAAAAAACATATACATATATATATATATATATATATATATATATATATATATATATATATATATATATATATATATATATATATATATATATATATATATATATAATATATATATATATAACTGAGAAGAAAAAAAACCCTTAGTGAAAAACAGCAACAACGGACGATTTAATCTTCGACGTTTCGGCCGGAGTCCGGCCTTCGTCAGGAAGCTTTCCTGACGAAGGCCGGACTCCGGCCGAAACGTCGAAGATTAAATCGTCCGTTGTTGCTGTTTTTCACTAAGGGTTTTTTTTCTTCTCAGTTTTATACCCACGCCTTCGGCCTCCCGCCACCATGCCCGTTATATATATATATATATATATATATATATATATATATATATATATATATATATATATATATATATATATATATATATATATATATTATTTATTTATTGTTTGTTTGTTGGGAAAGAAATGGAGGACAAAGAAGAATCCTCACGCAGGTGCTTTGGGTGCACGCAGTCCACTACCGGTTTCAACACTCGGTTCCACTCCTGTCGCCCAACGAGATACCATGGAAGTCTTGGACGCTCTCAACATTAGAGCAGCTCAATCGTCCGACGAATCTCTGCAGCCTATAATTCAGCATCTCAACGGCACGCTAAAGAACCCCACAGTACAGACCGAAAGGCGCTCCCGATTCTTCGTACCTCGGGATGGCATTCTCTACCGCCGTAACTACAACCACCAAGGACGAATTTGGCTTCTCGTTGTTCCATCGCAACTACAGCGAGAAATTATTCAAGCTCATCATGACGACCCTTCAGCCGGCCACTAAGGATTCCCGAAAACCTATTTTAAAATCCGCCGGAACTATTTTTGGACCGCCATGACCCGCATCATCAGCAAGTACGTTCGAGCATATCACGAATGCCAAACAAAAAAATCCCGCACCACAAAGCCGTCGGGACTGTTACAACCGGTTGTCCCACCTGATCGGCCACTTCAACGCGTCGGCATTGACTTTCTCAGCCCCGTTCCTCGATCGACCATGAACAACAAATGGATTATCCTAGCCATCGACCACCTGACGCGATACGCCGAAACCAAGTGCGTTCCAGCCGCCAACTTCTTTCCACACAGCATTTTGTTACGTCACGGAGCTCCCCAGCAGATCATCACCGATCGAGGCACCCCGTTCATTTCAATCCTCCTCGAAGACGTCTTGCGCCTAGCATCAGCCGTTCACAGCGTCGCAGCTGTACATCATCCACAAACCAGTGGGCTAACCGAACGCCTCAATCACGCTCTAGCGGACATGATCTCCATGCATGTTTCGGAGGACCACACTAATTGGGACACCGTCCTTCCGTATGTAACCTACGCTTACAATACCGCCCGTCAGGCTACTACCGGTTGCTCTCCTTACTACCTTTTGTATGCCCGTGAGCCACTCACCCCACTTGACACAATCCTACCTTATATTCAAGATAACACGGTTGAGCATTATACAGCAGACGTAATATGCCGGGCGGAGGACGCCCGCCAACTCGCCCGCATTCACACCTTACAGTTTCAGCAGCAGCAACAATTGCGTCACGCTGACCTTTATCGCCCGGCCCGTTACAACGTTGCAGACGAGGTTCTTTTGTGGACCCCTTCACGCACCCCCGGTCTCTGTGAGAAACTTATGAAGCGCTTCGTAGGCCCATTCCGTGTTCTGCGACAACTCTCGCCAACCAATCAGGTAGCCCCACTTTCGTCGCCTCGAGATCGCCGATCCAAATCATGCGACATTGTTCATATCGGCCGTATGAAGCCATACTACCGCCAAGAAAACTAATTCTACCACAAGTGCCGGATGACCGGCCCTTTCGACGGCGGGGGGGATATTGTTGGGAAAGGAATGGAGGACAAGGAAGAAGCCTCACGCAGGTGCATTGGGCACGCGCAGTCTCTTCCCCGAAGGACATAGACAACGGTCGCAGGGCATTGTATTTACACATCCTCTCATTTAATACACCTATATTTTCACGCTCACAATATATATATATATATATATAAAACTGAGAAGAAAAAAAACCCTTGGTGAAAAACAGCAACAACGGACGATTTAATCTTCGACGTTTCGGCCGGAGTCCGGCCTTCGTCAGGAAGTCTTCCTGACGAAGGCCGGACTCCGGCCGAAACGTCGAAGATTAAATCGTCCGTTGTTGCTGTTTTTCACCAAGGGTTTTTTTTCTTCTCAGTTTTATACCCACGCCTTCGGCCTCCCGCCACCATGCCCGTTATATATATATATATATATATATATATATATATATATATATATATATGTGTGTGTGTGTGTGTGTGTGTGTGTGTGCGTGTGTGTGTCTTTGTGTGTGTGTGCGTGTGTGTGTTTTTGTGTGTGTGTGTGTGCGTGTGTGTGTGTTTTTGTGTGTATGTGTGTGTGCGTGTGTGTGTCTTTGTGTGTGTGTGCGTGTGTGTGTTTTTTGTGTGTGTGTGTGTGTGCGTGTGTGTGCGTGTGTGTGTGTGTGTGTGTGTGTGTGTGTGTGTGCAAGGCTGTTTCGTAGGACGACGTAAAGTGTATGAGAGCGTCAACTGACTAATGGTTATCTTCCTAATATCAGTCAATTCATAACTTTCCTTTTTAGGCATTGGCTGCAGCCACAGGAGATCGGCGGAGTATTTCGTAGAATCCCTGACGGACGAACCTTGCAAGTTTGTGTCTTATTCCTGCACCAATGGGCTGCAGGACAGCGTGGACGCGTGTAATAAAAACCAAAGTGACAAATCTGAAATGGGATACAACAGCAAGGACGCACTAGGACGGGACGCGCAGATGCTGCCAACAAATGGAAGACCCCCGTATTGCAAGGTGTGGTAACGAGAGTTCATTGAAATTTACACCCAATCAATGTCAGATCAAATATTGGACCAAATAAAAACAACGAAACTGTATTCAAGTATAGCTACTACTTACTTTTCAATTTATCTGCCTGTTGAGATGAATTTTCGTCGTTTTCTTTGTAGTCCCAATTATCGACGAACTGAACTCTAATATGGCATTTAACTTGTCTGAACCTCCTAAATTCAGCCTAATCCCGATCAGGGCGACGAACCGACCAAGAACCGGACGCGAAACATGAAAAGACACCGTTTCTAGGCATTATAAGTCTGACGTTAAAATAAACTGTAACAAAGTTGGGTCACTGGCACTCGCTCGACGCGAACCGAAATCGAGTGTCGATGAACCCGAACCGAAACAAACACGCGAACATCCTTTTCGGTTAATAGTTTACTACTACGCAGTAAGTATGTTCTAGCTTTTAATTCAATCCCCAGCACCGTTTTCTTACTGCCCGCGCAAAACAAACTTGAATGATAGCCGAATAGCCGGCGACGAGTGCCCGAATATGCAAGGGGGAGGGGGGCTGAAGCAGACAAGACTACCTTTAGCTTTTGAGGTGTCATGGACAAGAGAACTGAAGAAAACATTTATCTGGGAGACCTTAGTACCTAGCTCCATCAGTCATCGTTGTTCGTTCCAAACAATGATTTCTTTTTTTCTTGCAATCAACAGTTTTTCTGTTTGTTTTCTCTGATATTAAAACGCTTGCGAAAAGTTTTTTGACAGATATACTAACAAAGAAAAAATGTGTACTGAATAAATATCTTATTTTCGTAGTAAGCAAGATGACTAAAATGGCAATACATTCCGTTGAAACAAAAAATCGCGTGGTATTAGTAAGTGTGTTGCCTGGAAAAAAAAAATCTGGAGAGAATACAGGTGTTCCAGGAGAAGATTTAGGGGGGGAGAGGGGCGACCGCCCCTCCTAATTTCTTCAAGGTGAACTTTTTTTTAAATACAATCATTGATATACATTAGCTAAAAGTGTAGTTTTTGGTGACATAGCAAATATTGGGTCAACAAAATAAACTTCAGCAACGTTTCGACCATTTCTGAGGTCAAATATGCACAACACCTATAAGAAAGGCTTGTTAACAACGTTGACAAAAGCTTTTCGAGCCAAGAAAGAGGATAATGCGCGAGAGCATTAGAAAATATGCCGGACCGGCCAAGTTACCAGTGTGTCCTCTAGTTGCAAGAGGTTTCAAGGAACCCAGTTCTAAGAGGTCGCAAGAGTGCGAACGGGCCTTAACAGACGTCGATTCTACGTTTTCTTTGGGAAGTTATTTTGAATGTGGAGCACAAGACATCCCAACAGTGTTCTGAGCAACACTTTGACGCCATCGACGTCAGTTCTATGTTTTTTTTTTGTTTTTTTTCGGGAGGTTCTTCAAACATTGAGCGCGAGACGTACCAAATATGTCGGAGCAGCACCTTGACCTCATTGGTAATAATAGACGTCAGTTCTATGTTCTCTCCGGTAAGTTCTTTGAACGTGGAGCACGAGAAGTCCCAATAATGTCCTGAGCAACCCCTTGACGTCATGAACATAATTTGTTTTTTTGTTTTTTTGGGAGGTTCTTCGAGCGCGAGATGCCCCAACGATGTCTGAGCCGCACCTTGACGTCATCGACATTATTCGACGTCAGTTCGTTCTTTTTTTTCCCGAGAGGTTCTTTGTACGTCGCGAGCGAGACGTCCCAACAATGTCCGAGCAACACCTAGATCACCTAAACAAGCGCCTTATAGAGCCCCAAAGTCCTCTCGTATCACTTTTAAAATTTCTCGTCAATGTCAGCATTTTTTATACTGTGTATGCGATCCACCTTTCAACCTGGCGCAGCTGCAGAAATCTCTGGCTATATCATGATTCTCGCGATTGTTGTCTTAACTGGAATTGCTTAAAAAGTTGAGAGTTCACAACAACAAAATCCAGGATTTAGCTCGGACCCCGCGGGGCTGTTTATAGCATTTTTAGAGTTTTTAATTTAATATCAGCGTCTTTGCATCTGTGAGAGAATGATAATAATGCAAGAGATTTCTGCAGCTCAGCCAGGTTGAAGGGTGGACAGCATGCAAAGTATCGAAAACGCTGACATTGACGAGAAATCTTAAAAGTAATATGACAGGTCTTTAGGCACTCTTGGACGCTTGTTTAGGGTGACTCCGAATTACGCCCAAAACTGTGTAGCCATGGAAGTGGTCGAAATTACCGATATCGCCGTTGTTCCCGAGATCACCTCGTTCGGGGCCTGCGTTCCGCGGTCCCTGGTCACGTGTCGTTAAGCTCCCCGGCGAGGGTGCCGACTGCCATGGCAGCCGTATCAACGCCATCTTGTCCACCGCCGAAAGCGCACGCTTTCGACGTTGTTGTGCCAGTAGGCACATCGGCGGACGACCTCATTGATGGGGTATCCGCCATTATGGGGTTGCCTGAAAGTTTCTCGGCGCAGCACCTAGGAGGTACAAACTTTAAAGTCGTCGTCAACCCCCACACCGACGCCCTCAAGCTTCGCGAGGCCGGCAGCGTCTCTATCGCCAACCAGTCAGTCCCCGTCGTGCCAGCGGGTCCGCAGGTGATGAGCTTGACCTGCCTCTTCCTGCCGGCGTTTGTTTGTAAAACATGTTAGGAAGAGTTTGTATGTAAAACATGCCAGGAAGATCCAGGATTTATTTCGGCGAGCTTCTTGACCACCCTCCGTCGCGCATGTGTGGCACCGGTGGCATCGACTAGGGGCGCTCTGGTTTGGTTGTGAACATGAGTTGGTCCATAAGCATTACAGCAATAAGGTTCTTGTACCTCTATATTAAAATCCCTTCAAATCCTGTCACAGGCAAAAGATATCAAATTCTCCGGTCACAGGTTCCGATAACATTCTCAACATGTGCAGACATCCAAAAGCCCAACTGCACACTGCAAGGAAAGACACCATATAGCAAAACGTTTTATTCAAGATAATTCTCTTACTGAAAATGAGTAAAAGGGCACCATCCGACACAAAAAACTGCCACATCAAAAATTCAATAATGAAACAACTAAGAGAACATTAAAACTTTGTGCTCCAGTTCTCCATGCCGGAACAAACTAACAAAGGATACATTGCTACTGCTTCCCTACTTTCTTCTTGCAGTAGTCCTGTGCCTGAAAAATCAGAAGAAAAAAAGAACAGTGCACGTTAGCTAGGTTACAGGGAAGTCATGGCGAAATTTCTATAGTCAGAGATCTGCATCAGAATTGGTTCGACACATTAATAGGCACATTTGAACAATTAACCCAAATTACAAGTCACAATAATATTTTTTTTCACCAAGTTGCTCTACTTGTAAAATTTTAAACAGGACATTAGATGTACTAATATGGGGGCAGTACAGCTGGTTCCCGATTGGCTACAAGAAGTTCGATAGTATGAAATGGTTGCTGAAAATACACATGCCAGCAAAACAAAAACAAAGAAGTGCAAAATACTAGTGAAAAGGCTAAGTACGCAGGCGAGCTTGGGTATATATGGACGCTTGAGAAATAAACCAGTTAGCCAAGTTTGAGACGTTCCCTTCGGTGTCTGTCCCTTCAACTAAAAGTGTTTTTTTTTTTACATTTTTTGCACCACAGTCCCGGGTATTAAACAACATGCAAAAAACTGTTTTTAGACTGTCTGCTCAAGTTGCAAGTTATGCAACATGTGACACCACCCCACCGGAGAGTGCAGGAAAGTTTGAATATTGGTATTGGCATAACCCTCACTTGGCATTTTGTCAATATCTATTTTAATTCAGAGATATTGAACGCATGTCGGAAAGAGCAAAGCCTGGGTATTTCGAAAATGTGTTCAGTTTGGGTAGCTCAAAAAATCGGCAGAGTTCCCCTTGAACTGGCACACCAATTAAAGGTTTGTGGGATAGGCAGTTGGAACCCACGTTGCAAGACGCCGCTAGTTTCTGGGGTTCCGCACCAGTACGACGGACCTTCCGAGCACTGCTTGGCGCCGAGAAGCTTTGACTGCTCCGTCCCATCCGAGCATATGTCGACAAACTATGCAGAAGAGAAAGCAAAGTGTGTTTAATAAGCAACATTAATTCACAAATGCAGTGTAATGGGATTTCAAGAAAAGAAGGTAAACGTGGGTGGTGCAACTAGAGGTTCTTCTTTAGGATAACATATGATTGTGCTTCAACGGCCGAAAATATGAACAGTTTTCTGTAACACCTTCATACTGTGAACCTTTATTAAAGGGAAGCTAAAGAACTTCTTAAAAGAAAACGAGATAGAGGTGAATGCTGATTTGTTTTTATCCCATGATCCTGAATATGATGTTTGTTTTCTTAAAGATGTGACAAAACACGAGAAAACACACAAAAAAACTCGGATCAGTCGTGATGTCCTACTAGAATCTTCGGACCGCCAAGCGCGTGTCTCTCATGTGGGCAGCAAGTGCAATCGCAAGCTTGCCAGGTATATTCCCCCGCACTCACACCAGTTGTGACGTCTCTTTCCAACCTCTTTGAAAATAGCAAGAGAGCGCGTGCATATCTATGACAGGCTCTGAAGATGCGCGAGAGCACAGATTCCAAAAGGTCGTAATATGATGTCACGCCCCAGAAAGGAGGAGCTTGAGTGGCACTTTGAAAATTAAATTATGCAGCCTTCGTGCACCAAATCTTAAAAAAGTTTTAAAACCGTTCCACTTCATGGGAAAATAGAGGACCAGCGAAGCTGTTATTTTTACGACTTCTAGGACGATGCCTAGAGGATGACGTCTAGGATGATCTCAAGGACGACTTGTAGGACGACTTCGAGGACGACGCCTAGAGGACAATGCCTATTACGACCTCTCGGACAACCTCAAGAACAACTTCTAGGGCGACCTCAAGGACAACTTCTAACTCAACCTCAAGGACGATGTCTAGGACAACCTCAAGGACGGCTTCTAGGATGACCTCGGGGACGGCGCCTAGAGGACAACCTCTCGGACGACTTCTAAAACAACCTCTCAGACAATCTCAAGGACGACTTATAGGACGAACCGGAGGACGATGCCTAGAGATGAAAACAAGGGATCAAGACCTCACTATTTAATAATGCCAAAGAAGACTGAATCATGCTGGTTCCCCCCCTTTTTATTTTTATTTATTCATACTTATCACGACCAATGGGGAGTTTTCTGTCAACATCTGCGGACATTTTTTCCCCAAATCCTAGCACATAACAGATCCGCCGAAATAATCTCAATATTCGTAATCCTGGAGGCCAAATAAAGATGATTTAGGTGTTTTCCACGATCTATGTGTTTTTTCTTCAAACACAGGACCGCTTCAGTTTCCCTTTAATGCAAATTTTTGTACCTGTATACTAGTTCCAAAATACTGGAAACAACTTGTATTATGTAGTGCATTAATTTCTTAACATGAAAAAAAGAGCATATACATAGTATGTTTCTTTGTAGGCGAAGTACCTTGTCCTTCGTAAAATGGCAATTACCATACTTTCCGGTGTATAAGTCGTGGTTTCTTTCGAACATTTCTTAATGCGCGTTATACAACGATGCAACTTACCATAAAATACCAGGTAAGTGCCCACCCTACTTTCACTGAAAACCGGGTTAACCTGGACATGAGCGCTTGTCTGGTCAAATCAGGCACTTAAAGTATAACTTAAAGAATTCACAAGTTTGGGAAATGTTTATAGTGGGCGCTCGAACGAAGTGGGCGCTTCCACGGTATTTTACGGTATGTGCGGATGTTTTTCTTTCTCTCTCTCTCGAAAAATGTTCATGGTGGTACTGCTTCACAGCGCACAAGATCAGACAGACTTAAAAGTAACTTCACGCATACACAGGAAGAACACTCTCGCAGCGCTGACTGACAACTCAAGTGTATTATGCATTATCTTCATCTTCCTTCACTCCGATGCAAATGGCAGTGAAACAAAAAAAAAAACGGGGATCATATGAAAAAGAGAAAAGGAAAGAACAGAAAAAGGATTAAAAACAAAATATAGAAGGAAGAAAAAATATAGAAGGAAGAAAAATAATGAATTTCCTGTACAGCAGACGTTGCTACTGTGCTTGTGCTATATAGTTCAACTCTTTTACGTTAAGGCTAGCGAAGGAGTACTAACACATATTCTATCTAGCCTTACAATGTTAGCGGTTTCTACTATTTCTCGCGTCAGTATGTTCCTGCTCCGTCCCAGTATGGTGCATTTGTCCAGGAGGGGAGAACAACCACACTCTCTGAAGTGGATGCCTAAATGACCCGAGTTGGCATTTATGGCATTTTTGTTATGCTCACGAAGTCGGTCATTTAGACAGCGACCCGTCTGTCCGATGTAACACTTGCCACATGTAAGGGGGAAGGAATAGATTACTCCCTCATTGCAGGACAAGAACTTGGTCTGGTGGTTTTTGATACATCCAACTGATCAACTAGATGTCCCTTTCACCTTCTTGCACAAGCTAGAAAGTCTATTCGGCGCGGAGAAAACAACGTCTACGTTGACTCTGTTGGCCATTTTCTTGAACTTGTGGGATAGGTTGTGGATGTATAATACACTTGATTTGTCAATCAGCGCTGCGCGAGTGTTCTTCCTGTGTATGCGTGAAATTACTTTTAAGTGTATCTGATCTTGTGCGCTGTGAAGCAGTATCATGAATAACCAACTCGCCCAACTTTTTTTTATGCGCCACACGGCATCTTTTGTAGAACACCTTAACTATGGAGCCTTAGGTGGTGTTGCCCCTTCCAGGGGGCACTGCTGACGCCGCACTCTTCTTCACTTTTCATAACTGACTCGGAAAAAGAGAAATTTGACGGTTTCTCCAAAGCAGCCAAATATGGATAGGTAAAGCAGTGATAATAAAGCTTTTACAGCATGCGATCGACGTTGTTTACTTCAGCCATGGTTCCTTATTCTTTTGCCTGTCTAGTAACGCTGAAAGGTAAAAGACTTGGTCAACAAGCATTGCAAAAAATTTTCGCAGCTCTTTCTTAGTTTCCGTTTGATGAGCAGCTTTTATCTGCCATGCTCTAGCCGTGTTGCTACTTATAAAAGGAAGGATTGCGACTAGCTGATCTTTTAGAGGGAACAAAAGGAGTGTGTCCAGATATACCTATCTGCCTGTGCGTTGTTGCTCGCGTCGTCTCCATGACTTGGCCTAGGCTAGGCCTAGTAGTCCAAAGCTTGGGTCACGAGTGTCTGGCATGTTAAACTTTCTTTCGCTTAGCATGGTACACTTGCATAAAGCCGACCACCTACTCATTTCGCACGATTTACGTCCTTTTGCTACGAAACACTCGATTGCTTCCGCCAGACAGTGTCATGCATGAGCATTTCTCGAGAGTCAAAGACGTGAGAGTTGTTGCGCGTCAAACGGTACATATGAACTAGCCGATTGTGCGATACTTCGAGTTCACGATACCGATGTACGTAAACATTTTAAAAATTCATCGCTTGATTCATGCAAAGATGTGCAACTTATATACCAACTTTTCTGCTAAAACAGCGCAATATACAGAACTGTGCCTTGTAATCCGGAAAATACGGTACCTTCATACGTAAAATCACATCCGTCCAAGACGTTGCATCTCTGTGCAGAGTGCCCCGCCCCGAGTTGTCCCACCCGGCCCACGAGCCACACCCATTAAATCTGCCTCTGTTTTATCCCCAATTACAGAATGTCTGTTCCAGCACAGCATATTCGAAGTGTGGTACAGTGAAATAGTACTTACAAAATAAAAAACCTGCAAACATAGCCATTAATGCGATAATTCATTCACTGTTTTCCTTTCTTTATTTAACTCACTTCTGAGGAACGTACCACAATATCATACAGACAGTAATTTCAGTGACTGAATTTCCGATCACACAAATAGCCATGACCTTTTGGCAGAGGTATTTTCACCTGCTCGCTCAGAAAAAGTTGTACCCTATGTAGAGCTTTAGCATAAAACAGCTACAACATGAGAACTGTTTTACTGCACAGTGAATGCAAGCCCGATCCTGTTACCTATCTATGTCTGGTGAACTCTAGATATTAGTTCGCGTTATTAACTTAAATCATTTATGCTTACCTTGCAGATTTCATGGCTGTTGCCAATGTTTCCGATGGCGTCGAGCAGGTAGGGTCCGTACAGGTCAACCAAGGATGCACACTAAAAAACATAAGTGAGCTTGTACATTGAGCTAGCTGGTAGTGACCATAGAAACCTTTATACAATACGAAGCTTTTTTTCTCGTTTCTGGCATATTAAATTTGTTCTCTATTTTGTGCAGATCCAGACCATTCTCATTTATGGAATGCATTCAAATCTAGGGTTTCATACAGTATTGTTTTCAAAGTAATGTGTCTTCAGAGCAAAGATAATCATCACTTTGAGTAGACACCCCCGCTTTCACATCATTGCACCATTGTCCTTGATGTTTCACAAAATAATGTTGCAGCACCATCAAACCAACGTCCCTCCTCATTTAATAAATACATTTTTAGAGAGACATTGACAGTGCCTGCTCAGCGCCGACTACAATCCATTACACACCCCAACAAACCACTGGATGTCCATTGAACATCCGATAGATGTCCGCTCAAGATATTAGGACGTCCCGAGGAGATCCGTAGCCGTCCGACGGACGTCCCCAGGACATCCGTCAGAGTGCCAAACGTAACAAACTTGCATGTCCGTCGGACATCCGAAATGGGATCCTTCTGCAGGCCAATTTCAGATATTCGGATGGCATGCCTCAATTCATTCTACTTTAGCCCAGATATGCTGTAAACCAGCCAAAGCACTAACTTGAGCCAATTTTTACTAGGCAGGATTTCTTCGGATATCCCGTGAACATCCGATAGAGATCCGATTCAGATATAGCGAACATCCGTGGGACATCCGTATACGTCCAACGAATATCCCCAGGACATCCGGCAGAGCGCCAAAGCGAACAGAATCGCACATCCGTTGGACATCCGAAATGGGATCCCTCTGCAGGCTCATTTCGGATAGTACCTGTACATTCGGAAAGTACCTGTAATTGTGTGGCATACTGTAAAATGACAATCCCCAGCGTGGGCAAGTCCTCTCTGCACCGTATGGCCCTAAGAAAACAAGTTGGAGACAGTATCGGTATGAGTGAAGGCAAATTTTGCAACACTTGGAAGTTACCTGTTGCTGAGTAGTGTAGTGTAAGGTGTTCGTCCCTGGCATGGCAAGGTCATTTCTGCACCAAGGTGAAGAAGAGATGAGTGCACACAACTTTCACACCAGAACCGGAACATACCTGTAGCTGAGTGGCATGGTCTAAGGTGCTACCTCCTGGTGTGGTGGGCAGCCCTTGGTACACCGCATGGACCTAACAAATCAAGTTGAAGAAAGTATGAGTGCAGACTAATTTCGCGACATATTTAGAACTTTTTAGTAGCCGAATAGCATAGTGCGATGTACTAACTGTTTTACCATAACATGGCAAAGAGCGAAAGCTGCAGCCCCGCAAGACTGTCAGAGTGAGTTGCGTGACAATGTAGCCGTCGTGCATTCCTCCCGTGGAGTGCTGTCATGTACTTTGCTCTGTCACTTCAATTGGCTCACGGGGGCCATAGCTTTCACCCTTAGCCAAGTTATGGTGAAGCGGAGTGTACTATAAGAGTGGTAACTTGGGCGAGTTGGTGATGCATTAGAACCAAAAAAGTATGAAAATTGGACGAAGGACGAGTGACAGGAATGCACACGACAAGCACTGACTTACAACTGAATTTTTATCAGGAAAAAACATAAAACCCTCGAACCACCAAAACATGAAACACCACCAATCTTTTCAATGTGATTACAATATTGCTTCGTAACGGTGTCCTTACGAAGCAAAAAGGCGCCATTGGCTAGAGTAATTCTGCAGTAAATGCATATGAAGCTTTTTCCTGATATTTCCAGATACTAGCTATTTATTTATAACAATTTCTTTTACAACTGAATATAAAATGTTGCTTAATATATTTTGTTACTAACTTCTTCATATTTATGGTCTACGCGTTTACTTTTCATTTTTCTCATTTACTGCGGAGATGCACGCCTCGGAAGCCAAGGAAGTGCAGCTTCCAGTTTCCTACTACTACTCTAGTAGGGGTGTCGCAAACTTTTGTCGAACCGGATTTTTAGGTCGAACTTTCGGGGTTCGACTGTGTCGAACCGGTTCGACGAAACATCGAACTTTTCACCAGATTCGACCGGTTCGACTTTGTGGACACTGTGGATAGACCTTGTTACAAGCATGTCTAGGTTTGGAGCATTTTTTTTTATGCAATAGGTTATTTTATTTTATGAACAGTTGCAATTAAAAGAAATCAATTCTTATCACTGAAGAAGTTAATAACTTATTTTTTTGTACTGTATTAACTGAAAGAACCAACCAGCGCTGCCCTTGATTCATCCCTCAGCCATCACCATCCAATCCGAAGCCAACTGGCCAGTCTGTCGCGCATGCGCACACGAGTCGAACCTCAATACAAGGTTCGCCGAACTTTTCACTAAAAGTTCGAAAAAGTCGAACCTGGTCGAACTCGAACCGCGGCCGGTTCGCGACACCCCTATACTCTAGTTCACTTCACTGTACGTAACTGTACTCCTACCATCGCGACGACGCTAACGACGCGGCGCGTTGCGGCAAAAAGGCCAATTAAGTACCGTGTTGGCGCGGCACTCGTAACAGATTGCGCGGTACTCGCCACAGATGGCGTATCCTCCCCTCCAAACACACGCAACCCACACAAAAACCGCCCGCTAAAACAGTGCCCCCTCTCCGTCTTCTTCTTTTCTTCTTTTTTTTTCTTTTTCGCTTTTCCCGACCGAGCTGTTTTGGCGTACGCTTTGCGCGAAGGCACTGAGCTTCCCCTCCCACTTAGGGGCTGCCTTGTACAAAAAAGTAAGACGTGGATTGTGCTCTTCTAGTGTAGCACTACGGCCACTGAAGTGGCGATACTAAAAATTTGAACCACCACAAAGTCACCATTTCGAACCTGCTGCGCAGCACCGCCAATGAGATTTTTGTTTCCCATGCCGTCCAGCTACCATTTCAAGTTTTGAACGCTGTAAGACTCTGCAGCATATTCGTTTCTCTTACCAGAAGTAAAAGAGAACACGTCACTTTTTCACGGAATACCGCGATTCCGCCGTGTAATCGCAAACCAAACATCAAACCATTTCCCAATCTGCAGCCGCGTATGGCGACAACGAGAACCATGGCGTGATATACAAGATTTTAAGTAATTTAAAACGTAAAAATACTTTTAAAAGTCCGTATTCAGTACCCTAGCTGAAATGCGGGAGAAGTGACTGTCAGAAAAAGAGAACCAGATGTTTAGAGCATGGGTAACAAAAATAAATGAGTCTTACTAAACAAAATAATTGTAGCTAAAAATCTTTAAAAACAACCAAAACGAAGTGACCACTATAACGAATTGTTTTAGAACAGTAAGATTCATTAAGTTACATCGCTAATCACAACCCAGAAAAGAAAACATATTTGGAAAACGTTTGAAGAAACAATCGATCCATCGCAATACGTCTCTCTAATTAACAAACAAAGTAAGGCGCCGTTCACACTCTTGCGACCGAGTGAGAGACCAGACCGGTTTTTAAGCCTTTTGCGACTTCTTAGGACCGGATGCTCTGCAGCGGAGCTGATCCTAGGAGATAGCAAGAGGCTTAAAAACCGGTCTGGTCTCTCTCGGTCTTACTCGGTCGCAAGAGTGTGAACGGGCATTAAAGCGCCGTTCACACTCTTGCGACCGAGTAAGACCGAGAGAGACCAGACCGGTTTTTGAGCCTTTTGCGACTTACTAGGACCGAAATCGCTGCACCGGAGCTGGTCCTAAGAGATCGCAAGAGGCTTAAAAACCGGTCTGGTCTCTCTCGGTCGTATTCGGTTGCAAGTGTGAACGGGCCTTAAGAGGAAAAAGAAAAATTAAACAGTCGACTGAGCAAATCATTAAAATCACTTTTGAGCGATGTATGGCCCGGGGATAATAACAAACTTTTTTCAATTACGAGTTTATCTGATAAGAAGTATTTGAAGATCTTCCGACCATCTTGTTGGCGACGTGCGATCTCATGCAGGTACTTTTGGTGTCAGGCGACGGTGTCATCTCGTTTAATCTGCCGCGAGTTTCGTTCCCTCTTGTCGTGCTCGAATCCGATGTCGTGGAGAAGGCGACGCACAGTCCAAGCCTTCAACGAGGGAAGTTCAGTCCTCGCGCAGAATTCGGCCGTTGTCTTCTTGACCGTGGGGATTTCGTTCCGTCCAAAAAAAACGGTGGACGCACGATCTCAGCGCGCACAAAGTGAAGTCGCCGTACCTGACTTTTCGCCGGCTCTTGCCTTCACTTGCTGGGCGCTTCCGAGAGGGTGTCGCAACCTGTCCCACTGTTTCTTTCGCCTGCTTCCTAATCTCGGGGATGGTGCGTGCACCAACGCCAAGCAGTTTGCTGACTTTGATGCAGGACTCCTCTACAGTGAGCCGGGATGGCCGGGCTTGGCGGGCGGTTCGTGTCACACCTGAACGTACGCGTTCATTATCAGCTGCCTTGCAACTCGGTTGAGGACATCGCCGCTCTTATGCTTCCTGTAGAGGCACCTTGGCGTAGACGGCGAGGCTGCACCAGACTCTCTTGACGAAAAACAATCGGAGGAATTGCATTCCGCTGTCTCCACGTTGGGACTCATAACGGAAAAGAAAAGACGACTGCAGATTTGTCAAAACGCGAATTGCAGGTGCTTTCAGAACCCGAAACGCAGTTTTTTTTTAACAAAGGCAGCAAATGCACGGACTGTACATAATCCCCAGGACTCATCCTCTCATCCCGGCGGGCCTTCCCCTCCGTGATGAACTTAATGAGCCCACCCCCATGCCAGCGGACTTCACCTGTTCCCCCGAGTGCGTGCCATTCCTGGACTACCTGGGTGCCCCACAAGGTATTCCCCATGCCCTCAAACTCGTTCTCGGTCCCGCCCGGCCTACGGCCGTGCTGGTGGACGGCGTGCCTACGCTCGCACTCCTCCAGGACGTCCTCCTCCCGGGGGATCTCCTGGCCAAGGCGGTCCGCGGGGCTGGCCTTCCCACCCTCTCGTCTCTGCCCTCGCCGGTTTCCGGGACTTCCCCGTTCGCCGGCTCTTTGAGCCGTCCCTCCTCTCCTTCGGTATCCCCTTCTGAGGGATCCGACGCAGAGGAAATGGACGAGCTCTCTGCGCCGGCGTCCGGGCCGTCCCCGGAATCAGGGGTGGACTCTGACTATGAAAGTGGGGCGGACAGCCTCGAGGATGCCGCTTTGCGTATCCTGCGTTGGCTCGGCGTCCATCACCCCTTCCCCGACCTGGGCGGGTCCGGGGACGAAGACGAGTCCACCGACAGCCGACGCCCGGCGGCCTTCCCGGCCGGGCCTCCTCACATGCCTGTCCGCCCTAGCGACCTCCCACCTGAGCTGAATTGGGACCTTGTGTCCACAGTTTTTGGTTACGCGCATACGCCCAGTCGCTTTCGCGATCTTCTCCGCACGCTGACTGCCCTTCAGGCTCCCCAGACTATTAAAGTCTATCGGCGTTTGGCTGGGCTGTAGACTTTCTATTTTTCTTTATTCGGCGCACATTACCATGCTCTCCGTCCTTTGCATGTTGCGTCAGCTACCGGCATTCCCCCTCCACTTGAGTGGGTGGAACTTTTCAATTTTGTTTTGGCAGCTACTCGCATCAATGCCATTTGCCATCACGACAGTGACTCATGAGGCCTATACCGACGCCAGTTCTTTTGGACTTGGGATATGCCTATTCCAGGGAAACATCGCTCATGGCTCAGATGGGTATCAACCCTCGACAACCCGGCTGACGGCCCCTCTCGACTCCACCACACTATTTCCCCTGCTCTCTGGCCTGCTCTCTGGCCTGGGAAGACAACTCAGCGACTGGCCGTCTGGCAGGAGACCGGTCCTATATATAGAGCCGGCCCCCTGGCGGCACCCCCACTCGCTTTCACGGGAAATAGTGTGGTGGAGTCGAGAGGGGCCGTCAGCCGGGTTGTTGAGGGTTGAGACCCATCTGAGCCATGAGCCTTTATTTGTCATCAACAACACTGACACAAGTGCTTCGACCACGGAAAAGGTCGGTCCGTGGCCCCGCGTGAGGGCAGCGACGAGGGGGGGGGGGGGGGGGGGGGGGGATGGGAATGGAGCAACGAGAGGGGTCAGGAGGACGGCGCACAGCCCGCGCTTGTAGATGGTGCCTGGGGTGCGGGTCAGGACTGCGTTGTTTCCCTGGGGTCCAAAGTCCAAAGTC